GCCTGTAGATGTATGACAAAATTTTATTTTTTTAATTAAGAAGTTTTTTCATCGTTATAGGTTGATTTAAAACTCGATGTAAATAAAAACATGCAGTATGCCAGACTGCTCTTCACTCAGAAAGGGCTGCACGAATTTCATGAAATATGGCACTCGGATCTCTTTTAATTGTGACTAACATTGGGGATATTTTTTAAGTTTTTGGTATTCAAGTTTAGGCGTTTTAACTCCATGCGGGTTCACTAGTATTGAAGTAAATGAGCAATATGCACATATCGCACACCGTTTTCATATTGAAGTAAATGAGCGATATGTACATATCGCACACCGTTTTCAAATGGAGCACAACTCAAAACTACACGTTTGTGAGAAAATTCGAAAAACTATTTCTTAGCACGTGATGATTATATGGGCAGGGAGACTTTACCTTAGGGTTTTTTTTAGCTAATTAAAACAAAAATTTGCTCCAGCTTTTTCTGGAAGGAAATAAAAGGTAGATCTTAAAATCGTGCTCGGCGATTTTAAAGCCGAGGTGGGCAAGGAAAGGATCTTTGGCCCCACTGTGGGAAAATTCAGCCTTCAAGACGAAACGTTCGATAACGGACTGAGGCTGATCGACTTCGGCGGGGCCCGAAACATCGTAATATGTAGTACTAGGTTCCAGCATAAGAACATGCACCAAGCTACATGGGTGTCTCCAGATAGAAAAACGAGAAACAAAATCGACCACGTTGTGATAGACGGAAGGCATGCTTCCAATGTTTTAGACGTACGTACACGCCAAACACCGATTCGAACCACTATCTTGTTGTAGCCAAGATACGCACCCGCCTCTGTGCCGCAAAAAATGTCCAACGATGCCAGGAAAGCTGCAATCACAACAGACGGCCAATTTATTCGCCACTCGACTCACACACCTGCTCTGTCAAGAGCCGCAGAGATTAAAGACGCTGCCTATAGGGCCACGCTGTGATCGAGCGCAACGCGACCGTTACAGGTAACTGAGGAAGGAAGCGAGACGTATTTGCCGCAATAAGAAGAGAGAGGCCGAAATACGTAAGTGCGAAGAGCTTGCAATGCTAGCCGACAGGAAAAATTCCCGAAAATTTTACCAGAGGGTTAGGCGACTTATGGAAGGTTTCAAGACCAGGGCGAACTCCTGTAATAACAACAATGGCGACCTAGTGACCAATGTCCAGAATGTACTGAAATTATGGAGGGAAAACTTGTCCACCCTACTGAATGGTAGCAGCGCTGTAATTAGTGGAGGTACGAATAGCGATAGCGCGCTTGAAAACAACAAAACTGCTGGAGCTGATAGTCTGCCAGCTGAGCTATTAAAGTACGGTGGCGAGGAGTTGATAAGGTGTATGCATCAACTCTTATGCAGAATATAGTCAGATGAACGCATGCACGACGACTGGGATTTGAGTGTGCTCTGGCCAATCCACAAGAAAGGCGATCCCGCCATTCGCGCCAACTACCGCGGAATCAGCCTTCTAATCATAGGTTGTAAGGTCTTATCGAGTGTATTGTGCGGAAGACTGAAGCCCACTGTCAACGAACTGATCGGACCTTATCTGTGTGGCTGTAGGCCTGGAAAATCCAAAATAGATCAGGTATTCACAACACGCCAAATCTTGGAAAAGACCCGCGACAAGGGGATCGGCACAAACCATCTATTTGATTTCAAAGCCGCTTTCAAAAGCACAAAGAGAAGTTGTCTTTATGCCCCGGTGTCTGAACTTGATATCCCGGGAAACTAATACGTCTGTGTAAAATGATGTTGAGCAATATCAGCGAGCTCCATCAGAATAGGGAAGGACCCCTCCGAGCCGTTTGATACCAAACGAGGTTTAAGGCAAGGTGACTGCCTCTCGTNGGGGATCGGCACAAACCATCTATTTGATTTCAAAGCCGCTTTCAAAAGCACAAAGAGAAGTTGTCTTTATGCCCCGGTGTCTGAACTTGATATCCCGGGAAACTAATACGTCTGTGTAAAATGATGTTGAGCAATATCAGCGAGCTCCATCAGAATAGGGAAGGACCCCTCCGAGCCGTTTGATACCAAACGAGGTTTAAGGCAAGGTGACTGCCTCTCGTGTGATTTCTTTAATCTGATGTTGGAGTAGATAATAAGAGCTGCAGAACTGAAACGCTCAGGCACAATACTTTACAAGAGCCTAGAATTGCTGGTATATGCCGACGACATCGATATTATCGGTAAAAACAAGGGCTACGTCTGTTCTGCCTTCTCGGGATTGGATAGAATGGGCTGGTGGTGAACGAGGACAAAACGAAGTATCTCCTGCCATCACACAAACAGTCACAGCATACGCGTCTTTGCACCCACGTCACTGTTGAGAGTTACAAGTTTGAAAAAGCAGACGACTTCGTTTATTTGGGAACTGGCATTAACACCAATAATAATGTCAGCCTTGAACTCCAACGGAGAATCACTCTTGCCAACAAGTGCTACTTTGGACTGAGTAGACAATTGAGAAGTAAAGTCCTCTCTCGTCGTACAAAGATCACACTCTATAAGTCACTCATCATGCCTGTGCTGGTGTATGGCGCGGAAGCATGGACAATGAAAGCATCTGATGAGGCGGCTCTTGGAGTTTTCGAGAGAAAGATTCTGCGAAAGTTTTACGGACCTTTACGCGTTGGCGATGGCGAACACCGCAGACGATTTAACGATGATCTGTATGAGCTTTACAACGATGTAGACATAGTGCAGCGAGTTAAAATTCAGCGGCTCCGCTGGCTTGGCCATGTCGTTCGAAAGGACAGAAACGCTCCTGCTCTGAAAATATTCAACGCCAGCAGCGGTGCTTGTAACAGAGGAAGGGGAAGGCCTCCTCTGCGTTGGAAAGACCAGGTGGAGAAGGACTTGGCTTCACTTGGCATTTCCAATTGGCGTCAGTTAGCACAGAAGAGAAATGACTGGCGTGCGCCAAAACCGCTTAGGTGGTTACAGCGCCAATAAAGAAGAAGAAGAAATAAATGCTCTGTGCACAGTTTTAGCGAATTTCAAAAATGCCAAATTTTGAGTTGTGCCTCTTTGGAAGATGGTGTGCGATATGTACATATCAGTGATGTGGCGAATATTTGTGTTCGCATTCGTTATTCGAATGATTCGCATCATTTTACTTATTCGCTTCCACATTCGCATTCGCATCAAATGATACGAATATTTTTCGAATGCGAATGTGTACATGGGCACAGTGCGCAGTTAACGACCACTAAGCATACAATCGCATATGTTCAAGGTTGCTCCATTTTAACGCTCAGTTTTTTTACAGGCAAAACAACCCTTGTACGCTGTTGCATTTTGTAGAAAATACAAATATGTAGATCTAACTGGGCGCCCTCAAATGTGTTCTCATTTTGAACCGACTTCACTAAAAGGAGGAGGTTATCAGTTCGTCGGAATATTTATTTTTTTGTTTTACCGCATAACTTTGGACTAGGGCTGATGATTTCACCCGGGTAATGAGCTACCCGGGTATCCGGNCGGGCAAATCGGGTAATACCCGACTACCCGGGTAATAAAAGCCCCGGGTAGTACCCGGGTAACCGGGTACCCGGGTATCATCAGCCCTACTTTGGACCACGTTAACCGATTTCGATAATTCTTCATCGGAAAGGTGGTACCTCAGGGGGGTCCCATACTAATTAGATCCGATAATTGGATCGTGAAGAAATTAACGATAAGCTTAAATTTTTATATGAGAATTGAAGTCGGCATTTTTTTTGCTTAAAAATTACTTGTTTGTTAACGTTTGCACTTTAACCTCTTTTTCTGATGACCTCTAAAATATTTCGGTGCTATTCATATTTTACGTAGTTGTATTAATAGTTACATATTTTAGTTAATTTTTGTAATTCATTCGTCGAAAGTGAGCAATTGTTCAGTGCAGTCAGTCTTATATACAAGTTTCTAAGAAATCGCAGAAAAGAAGGCAGTAAAATTACTTTTTCTGAAATGTAATATGCCTCTTTTCAATTTGGACCACTAGATTAAAACAGTGTAACTATAGGTTAAGCACTGGTTCAATGTTTTAATAACACGGTTCAACAAAATATGGTCGTATTTTGTCTCAAAAACGGGGCCAACCTAATCTTATAGATTTTTTTTTATGCTAATTTGAAGTGCATTTACAAAATTTTTCTAGCACGTATATTTGAGAAAAAAGTAGAAGTCCGAAAAGTGGTAAACATGGCAAATTAAAAAAAAAAAAAAAATAAAAAAATTAAATAGAATTTGGACGTAGTTTTTTCGAGGAAAAAATCAACGTATTAATGAAAATTCAATTCGTCTGATGGATTCTATCTCATGTCGATGAGTTAATTAGAAATTAGTGAAGAATTAAAAAAACTCAGTTCTTCAATAGCATGCACTTCCACAAATACGAAAATCTTAATCTATGAATTAATTTTAAAAACAAAGTAATTTCATGAATTAACTTTAAAAAAATCAGTATCCCAGATTCATCAGTATCCAATCTTTTGTCTCCTAGATCTTTCCTCAAACATTTTTTTTGTGGATAGCGTTATCATCGCTTTTCAAGGTCCAGCAATAGTCAGCAGGCATGTGGAGGTTTGGTTTCCTATCATACTACTTTTCTATAGTGGTTATGTTCTGGTGAAATCGTTCGCCATGTTCATTTCTGGTGTTTTTTTTTTTTAATTTGACTCCTTCCTGCTCAATCCATCGACATGAGGTAGGATCCATCAGTCGATTTGGATTTTCATTAATACGTGTTTTTTCTTCGGAAAAATTACGTCTAAATTATATTTTAATTTTTTTTTTTTAATTTACCATTTTTCGACTCTTCAACAGTTTTTTTTTTTCTGAAAAGCTGGACATGCTAGAAAAATTTTGTAAATGCATTCGCAAATGTAAAAAATATGACATTCGAAACATCTCTAGTACATATGTATGTATGTTATGCATTAGATTGCTATGTAATTTACTTTATAATACTTACACTAAAAGCACAGCAGCTGCCGCAGCTGCGGCTGAAACAGCAGCGGTTGCATAAGCAGTGTGGCCATAGCGCTGTGACTGCTGATGCTGTTACGTAGCCGCAGCGGCTGTGGCGGATGGTGTCAAACTCGAAGCAGTTGCTGCAGGTGACAATGTTTCGCGGATGGTACTAGCTGGACATGCCGGTTTTGATGGACTGGGTGGCGTACGACTTAAAGCAGGTGGCTCCGGCGATGGCGGTCGTATCGAAGCCGTCAAATGCGAGAAATGCGATGCTAGTAATCCGTTGCCACCAATGGTAATCGGGTAAGGAAAATAAGTGGGTGGCCCGTTTACTAACGCTGCAGGTGGGTAGTAGTTATAGTACAGTTGCCTATCCATCAATTGTAGCGATATGGTTTGATTCCAAATACGCTTTGCTGTAAGATACACGTATAAGTTGTAATTAGCGAATAGTGCTAAAATAAGTACAGTATCTTTTTTCAATATTTATATCCAACGACAATTTAAATATAATCGGTTAATTGCAAGAATTGTTTAAGGATTAGTACTAATTTACACAATTGGATGTTGTTGATTTGAGTGTAAATATAATTTTTGATTATACACATTAAAGTCGACAAAAATGCACAGATAGGTAAATATTTAGAAATTTTTCGCTACCACAATTTAAAAGCTCCTAAACGGGTTTTAAGGTTATGATAATGCGAAGCGTTACCAAGGGAAAGTAATATATCCCGCGCCTCGCGAAAATGTTTGATTCTGAAATTCTGCCTACATGTCTCTTTTCGGTATTTCTTTTAAAGAACATATCGCACACCTAGATCTAAAATGATCTAACACAAAATTCATTGCGCCAAATTTAACTGCTCAAGACAATTAATACAAAAACAGCAATTAATACAAAAACAGGCATAACAGTAGTTTTTTAGTTAATATATATAATCACTAGCGGTACCCCGGTGTCTATACCAAATATTGAAAAATATTGAAAAATTAATGAAAAATCCTGGAATTTTTCTATGTGAAAATTTATTATCTGTTTTGTTTCAAAGTTTTTGATTCTTTATTTTAAACCTTAATCCAACACATTTGGATATACAACATTTTTTTTTTTTCCATCCTGGGTATGAATAAATAAACAATCTGGAATGTCAACTCTTGAACAGGCCACGTATAGCTGCCCTTGCGTAAAGCGGGGCTCCTTCAAATTCAATCCGCACTGGGAATTGCAAACGCTTAAATTCAAACGTCATGTCTGTTGTTATCAGTGGAATACGCGGCATGAGCACAATTTCACCTTTCGCTTTGCCAGTCAGTATTGTTGCTTCAACTAAATTCGCCATCAATTTTTTTACTGCCAGTCTTGTGCCATTACACAGTTTTGGAGTATTTAAATTCCGTAGTAAAATAATTGATGAGCCGATCTTTAAATTCAAACAATGTGGTGGCATACCAGGCGGTTCCAATGAATTCAAAAATTCAACTGGATAACTTACTGCTTCATTGATTCATTGCGCTATCAACAGATTTATATTTTATCACTTCACCTGGCAATTTTTCTATTTGGTAATTGATTGAATTGACATGCACATTTTTTGGTGCCAGTATTGCGCGTTCTAAACCAATCGTGATCCAAGTAATTTTGAGCAATATTTGGAAACACGCGTTCAATCAATTTTCTTTTAATTGGAGAATTGTACAAAAATTCTTCGGCAATGTAATCAATCCATTTGTATTATCGATTCGAACTTTGCCATTTCTGATATCTAACAATTGCTTCGAGAACCGATCTTCAGATTGATTATTGTGCAACTGAATACGCATGTTTATGTGTACATATCGCATGCATTGATCTCATCTGCCGGTGTTGATCGTGGAATTACGGGCAATGTTTGTCGAAAGTCACCTGACAATAATACCAAAGCACCACCAAAAAGCTGTTGCTTTCCACGTAAATCCTACATTGTGTTGACTCTCCAAAGTCCAAAATAGAAAGACCGAATATCAATGTACACCACCTATTCGATAATGCGATGAAATGACAGATATGTTGTGTTGTAGTGACTTTCATTCCATTGGCTCTACAAAATCCCTATTGAAAAACTTGCAGCCATGTTTATACCTGACTTAATTTATCCGAAGAAAAAATAAACACAGTACATTATAGCAAGAATTTTCCACTACGTTTTCAAACTTTTCGTACGAAATGATGCAACAAATTAGTGCAAAATTATTGAAATAAATTCAATTGATTATTAAGTTGATTTTTTTGAGCTCAAGGCCGGGTTGAAATAAAACAATCTGTTTTTATTGTTTTTAAATCGTATACATATGTTAAAAAAAATCAATTATGAATTGAGAACTATATTGCAGCCATGTTTATACTTGACTTAATTTATCCGAAGAAAAAATAAACACAGTACATTATAGCAACAATTTTCCACTACGTTTTCAAACTTTTCGTACGAAATGATGCAACAAATTAGTGCAAAATTATTGAAATAAATTCAATTGATTATTAAGTTGATTTTTTTGAGCTCAAGGCCGGGTTGAAATAAAACAATCTGTTTTTATTGTTTTTAAATCGTATACATATGTTAAAAAAAATCAATTATGAATTGAGAACTATATTGCAGCCATGTTTATACTTGACTTAATTTATCCGAAGAAAAAATAAACACAGTACATTATAGCAACAATTTTCCACTACGTTTTCAAACTTTTCGTACGAAATGATGCAACAAATTTGTGCAAAATTATTGAAATAAATTCAATTGATTATTAAGTTGATTTTTTTGAGCTCAAGGCCGGGTTGAAACAAAACAATCTGTTTTTATTGTTTTTAAATCGTATACATATGTTAAAAAAATATCAATTATGAATTGAGAACTATATTGCAGCCATGTTTATACTTGACTTAAGTTATCCGAAGAAAACATAAACACAGCACATCATAGCAACAATTTTTCACTATGTTTTCGATTTTTCATGTATCTGCTGTTGTACCATATACGTGGTTCATGTGACAGATATAAACTGTGATATATCATGAACCGCTGGACCGAATTCGGACACACTTCACATAACCCAGTCCGAATATACCGTTTAAATTTGGTAGAATTCGTGCACTTATTTTTTTATTCAAGATGGGAGGTGCCACGCCCCCTTTTCCAATACCGCACATTTTTCTCCATAAGTATGGAATTATTTCATATGTCTATACCAATTTCTAGTAATCTAACACAAATATTTCAAGAGATATACCAGATGAAAATTTTTGTTAGTATGGGTGGTGCCACGCCCCCTTTTCCGAATTCGGGGAAATTTAACACAAACCATCTGCATAATATCCCAACTATGCCGTATAAATTTGGTTGTAATCTTGCACTTATTTTTTATATATAAGATGGGAGATGCCACGCCCTCTTTTCCAATACCGCCCATTTTTCGCCATGAGTATGAAATTATTTCATATACCTCTATACCAATTTCCAGTACTCTACCACAAATATTTCAAGAGATATACAACATAAAAATTTTAGTTAGTATCCCACACCCCCTTTTACGAATTCGTGCAAACTTCATGATAGCCCGAATATGCCGCATAAATTTGGTTGAATTCGGTGAAGCCGTTCTCAAGTTATAAGCTCACATCAAAAACGTGTACTTATTTTTATACGTAAGATACATATGCCACGCCCCCTTTTCAAAATTTGGGCAAACTCCAGATAAAAGATCTGCATGATGGCCCGAATATGCTATATAAATTTGGTTGAATTCGGTGAAGCTGTTCTCAAGTTATAAGCTAACTCATTAATTTTTATATATAAAATAGTGGCGCCACGTCCCCTTTTCCGAATTCAAGCAAACTTCACATAAAGCATCTGCATGATAGCCCGAATATGCCGCATAAATTTGGTTGAATTCGGTGAAGCCGTTCTCAGGTTATATGGTCACACCAAAAACGTTCACTTATTTTTAAATATTTTAGTTAGTATGGGAGGTGCCACACCCCCTTTTACGAATTCGGGAAAACTTCACATAAACCATTTGCATGATAGCCCAAATATGCCGCATAAATTTGGTTGAATTTGGTGAAGCCGACTCAAGTTATAAGCTCACACCGTAAAGGTGTACTTATTTTTATACGTAACTCCACATAAAACATCTGCATGATGGCCCGAATATGCTATAAATATAAATTTAGTTGAATTCGGTGAAGACGTTCTCAAGTTATAAGCTAACTCACTAATTTAATAGAGGCGCCACGCCCCCTTTTCCGAATTCAAGAAAACTTCACATAAATCATCTCCATGATAGCCCGAATACGCCGCATAAATTTGGATGAATTCGGTGAAGCCGTTCTCAATTTATATGGTCACACCAAAAACGTTCACTTATTTTTATATTTTAGTTAGTATGGGTGGTGCCACGCCCCCTTTTCCGAATTTGGGCAAACTGCGCATAAACCATCTGCATGATAGATCGAATATGCCACATGAATTTGGTTGAATTCGGTGAAGCCGTTCTCAAGTTATAAGCTCACACCGAAAACGTGTACTTATTTTTATACGTAAGATACATATGTCACGCCCCCTTTTCCAAACTTATCTTATATATAAAAATAAGTGCACGTTTTTGGTGTGACCTCATAACTTGAGAACGGCTTCACCGAATTCAACCAAATTCATGTGGCATATTCGATCTATCATGCAGATGGTTTATGCGCAGTTTGCCCAAATTCGGAAAAGGGGGCGTGGCACCACCCATACTAACTAAAATATAAAAATAAGTGAACGTTTTTGGTGTGACCATATAAATTGAGAACGGCTTCACCGAATTCATCCAAATTTATGCGGCGTATTCGGGCTATCATGGAGATGATTTGTGTGAAGTTTTCTTGAATTCGGAAAAGGGACGCCCCCTTAAGTGCACGTTTTTGGTGTGACCTCATAACTTGAGAACGGCTTCACCGAATTCAACCAAATTCATGTGGCATATTCGATCTATCATGCAGATGGTTTATGCGCAGTTTGCCCAAATTCGGAAAAGGGGGCGTGGCACCACCCATACTAACTAAAATATAAAAATAAGTGAACGTTTTTGGTGTGACCATATAAATTGAGAACGGCTTCACCGAATTCATCCAAATTTATGCGGCGTATTCGGGCTATCATGGAGATGATTTATGTGAAGTTTTCTTGAATTCGGAAAAGGGGGCGTGGCGCCTCTATTAAATTAGTGAGTTAGCTTATAACTTGAGAACGGCTTCACCGAATTCAACCAAATTTATATTTATAGCATATTCGGGCCATCATGCAGATGTTTTATGTGGAGTTACGTATAAAAATAAGTATACGTTTTCGGTGTGAGCTTATAACTTGAGAACAGCATCTCCGAATTCAACCAAATTTAT